TCCATCCTTTTCGAAAGCATCTTTTTTTTCTCTTCTTAGTTTGAAGACGAAATTTTTCTTTTTACTCTTTAAAATTTTTTCCTTTCCGATTTTTGGAAGGCTTCAGGGAAAAATTGCTGGGCGCCATACCCAGGAACACATCCCATGTCGTGCAGGTGGGGAAAATATGTGGGGTCAGATTCATCTGGTTTGGTTTTCCTTAAAAAGGAAATTGAGAATTGGAAATGTTCATGGCATCAGTGAGAATTTAAAATCTGAGGGGCAGGAGTTTGCTTAAACCTGCTGCATCAAGTGTTAAAAAAAAAAAAAAAAGTTAAATAAATTAATTGGATAAAGAACTTCTGTTCACTAAAAGACTGGCAACATTTCTGGGTTTCTGTCTGGAATTTTTCAGTTGTAAAACCTGAAATCCTCCCCCACCCCTAGCAGTAACCTTGAGACATGGTGCCGGAGCAGGAGTTTCCACTGGCAGGGAAGAAAAAAATTACAATAAAGAATGTGGACAAATTATTTTGACTGACCAGGCTTTTTTTTATTTTGCAGGGGCAGTCACCAGGACTGTCCTGCCCTGCAGCTGCTGTGCTCAGTGCTGGGAGCAGGAGATGAATTACTGTGATGAGGGGCTGGGGCAGGGAATGGCAGGGATCAGGCTCCAGGCATGGTGCTCTTGGTGCATGGTGGCATCCATGGGGAAGGATCTTCTGGGACAGCCAGAAATGTGTGTTTTTCACCCAAAATACAGAGGTACAGTGGCTGTGTGTTTGTGTAACTATAGGTGAGGGCTGAGCTGTCGTGCTTTGTCTAAATATCATGATAAATGTCCCCGTGGAGCTGGTACCCACCCAGGCTTCTTGCTGGCATCTGAGCGAGCTGCCAGCCCTGGGAGGAGCTGCCACTTTGTCCAAATTCCAGTGGCTGGGAATGGTGTCCATCCCTGGGGTGCCGTGTCCTGTGGCATCTGTGTCACCTCCTTTGGGTGGGCACCCTGGAGCTGCTGGGCTTGATGATGGGTGGTTGAAAATCCCTCAGTTTGTGAAAATCGTGGTGTTCCTGCAGCCTGGTTGTGCCACAAGCACCCTCCTGCTGCTGGGAATTCCTGGCTCTGTCGGACTTGTGGTGCTTGGAGTGGTTCAGAACTTGCTGGAAGAATCTTGGGGAAAGGGAAAGTGTTTGTGTGTCACCAAGTGTCTGTGGTGCTGGCACCACTGGGGAGGTCATGGAGGTGAGGAGGTGCCTCTAGGCACAGTTATCACAGACTCATGGAATGGTTGAGGTGGGAAGGAACCTTAAAAATCATCTCATTCCAACCCTTGGGTTTATCCCAGGGGGTAAAGCACATGTTCCCTGGAGACATAGCTCTGCTCTGTGGTAGCAGCAAATTTATTTCAGTAACTGGATGTAGAATGGTTGGTTGAAGGCAGGGCTTACCTGGATGTGGGGCAGTTTTCCATGGAGTATTCCAGTGAGGAGCATCACTTGGGATCACATGGACAGATCTCCTCTGTGAGGGCTCTGGGAAGGGCTCAGGAGGTTGGGATGCAGCCAAATCCAGGCCTTATCTCCAACCTCACCCCTTGGGTGGTGCTTTCCCAGAGAGCTCCACATACCACTGGACATGTGTGGCTTTGCACGACTGAGGAGGATTTGACTCCCCATCTCCAGGCTTTGAAGCACAGGGATCCATCACGGATCCATCCTCAACCTTCCCTGACTCCACGGCCGTTCCTTCCCACGCGCCGGCAACGAGCCGCCGGGAAAACTCGCACCTCTCGGCTCGCTCGCTCAAAAATATCCCCAGTCCTGCCTGGATGCTGCCAAGATGGGGAGTGGAGCCCGCGCTGCCTCTTAGCAGAAATCTGTCGCCTCGCTCGGCGGTGGGGAGGCTGGGAGGGAGGCTGGGATCTGCCGAGCGCTGAGCCCCGGCGCTTTCGAAAATAGAAGCAGAACAAATGGTTGGAGCAAGATGCTGGTGGTGAAAGGCAGCCAAGGCCTCTTCCCGCGGCAGCTGGTGGCTGCTTCTTGCTCCTCCATCAATCCTCTCCCCCAGAGCTGGCATTTCCTTGCGGGGGGAGAGGTGAACATCTGGCTCTTGGGGCGGCCTGGGGCGCAGCGATGCTTTATTGGGTTCGGTGCGGCGCCCTGGGGTTTGGCACAGATGAGCTTGGAGCGAGCTGTGAGGATGGCAGGGCAGGAGGAGATTCAGTCGGAGTGAGATAAGGAGGAGATGGTCGGGTGGTGCCAGTTCCTGGAGGGACTTTGTCCCAAAACAAAGGGGCACGTGCTGGGTTGAGCTGCGGGCATGCGGGCACGGCGTGGCAGCGGGTGCTGACCTGGTGTCTGACAGCTGAGCATGGAGCTGCTCCCATGGGAGGGGTGGGGGTCTCAGGGGGTGAGTTCCTGGGGGCTTCTGGGGACCCCAGGGGTCTTGGGTGCTTCTGGAGAAAGGCCAAGGGTTGGGTTGGGTTCCTCCCCTCCTGCTGCCCCATGGGCGCTGCTCTGGAGGGGACAAAGCTGCCTTGTGCCAGCCGTGGGTACACAGGAGAGGAAAATGGTGAGCCCAGCTCTCAACACAGATGGAGAGAGTTTGGAAAAGTCCTGGTAGTTGCCCTCAGGTCTTCCAGCTTTTGGGCCAGATGAGAGTAGGATTTATCGAGCAGGATTTCACACCTGCCTTTGTGCTGGAGAGAGCTGCTCCAACTGGACGAGGTGGGAAGGTTGGGAAGATGTTTCCCTTACGGGGAGATGTTCTTGCCTTGTCCTTTCCAGTGGAGAGGACCAGCCGCTGAGGTGAGCTCAGCATCTGCCTGGGTGACCTTCAGCGCCTTTGCTTGGAGAGAGAGGCTGCTTTGCATGTCCTCTGCCCTGCCAGCAGCACTTGCAGCGAGCATCGGGGTCTTTTTGTTATGCAAATGGAGCTTTGGTTTTAGCTTCTCAGAGATAAATACCTTCGAGGCTAAATTTGGAGCTCGGGGCACTGCTGAAAGCGCCCTGATGGCCCAAGGCCTGACAGGTCAGATGCTGAAGGTGGTAGTTTGGGTGTTTGGCTCCCCTTCGGGCATGGAAACAAAACAGTCACGATATTTTTTCCACCGAGGTTGTACAAGATTTTTTGCAGTGAGGAACAAACACCTTGAGTCCTGGTGGGGGTCCTTGGCACAGGATGCCACCCCACCCTGGAGTTCCCACTTTGGCAGTGATGTGCTGTGGTTTTATTTAGCTTTTGGAGCTCAGGAGATCCTTTTGTCCCAGCGAGGATCCTCACTGAGCTGTGCCCAGGCACAGTGAGATATCTCAGTGCCCGTGACCACCTGGATTTTGTGGTCAGGATCTCTGTGCCACCCCTCAGAAAGGCTGAAGGATGCAGGCAGCACGACCAGAGGATGCAGTGCCGAGTGCCATGCACCACAGTGATATCTCAGTGTCCCTGACCACTTGGATTTTGTGGTCAGGATCTCTGTGCCACCCCTCAGAAAGGCTGAAGGATGCAGGCAGCATGACCAGAGGATGCAGTGCCAAGTGCCATGCACCACCCCAGAGCTTTTTGTCACCTCCCCTTGTGCGTGGTGTGGAGCTGGCATCCCCAGGGGCAGCGTGGCTTCCTTTGGGACCCCGTGAGTCCCTGGCAGCCCGTCTCTCTTGTGATGGGGTCATGGGCCGTTGGTTGGGCTGCCTTTGGGCAGAGCTGTTTGTGTATGGTTTTATTTTTATTTGTGCGTCTTTCGGAAATTTTTCGTCACAGCAGGTGCCGGTTCAGTGCCCAGCAGTGGGGTGGAAACGTGGCTAAAACTGGTTGGGCTTCTGTTCATACAGTTTTGCTATTTCTGTGTCACAGGAGAGCTTGAACTCCCTGGGGTCTGAGGGGGCTGAAGCCATTGGGTTCCTGATTGTTCCCTCCTATGGGGTCATAGATCACCTAGCAGCCTGAAAACTCACAGACATCAGCCCAGGGACTCTCTAGGGCTGAACCAAGGTGGTGTCACCTTAACACTCAGAGGTATCTCATGGGCAGTGGTGGGTTCCTGGTTCATCCCTCCTGTAGAGTCACAGATCACCTAGCAGGGTCACAGATCACCTAGCAGCCTGAAAACTCACAGACATCAGCCCAGGGACTCTAGGGCTGAACCAAGGTGGTGTGACCTTAAGAACACCCAGAGCTATCTCATATCCTTGCAAAAACACAGGCAGTGTTGGGTTTTATTGCAGCAGAGAGCTGGGCAGGAGCACAGGGTCTCCCACATGCTGCTCACAATGGGATACCTTGGGGACCTGCATGTGGAAAGGAAAGGTGGTAGGAAATAGAGGCAAAAAGAGAGGGCAGCTCTTTTGGAGCTGCTTCTTTGCAAAGTTTTGACATTGGCTGCGTGCTGAGCTGTGGAAGGCTGGGCTAAGGCCACCCCAAAACAGGGTGGTTGTGCTCAGGGGAACCTTGTGTTCCCCACAAGGGATTTTGGGGGGATTTAGGACTTGTTGCTGCATCCTGGCAGGGTGGCAGCTGCATCCCCCAAAGCTCTGCAGGGTCTGGAGTGCCCATGCCCAGGGAAGCTGCTGTGCCAGCAATGCCCCAAAGTGGGGCTGAGGCACAAGAACGGGTCCCCATTCCAGGGAAGAGAAGGCTCCAGGTAAACCTTAGAGTCCTTTCCGGTGCCTAAAGGGCTCCAAGAGAGCTGGAGATGACTTTGGACCAGGGCCTGGAGTGACAGGACAAGGGGGGATGGCTTCACACTGACAGAAGGCAGGGTTAGGTGGGGTATGGTGAAGAAGTTCCTCCCTCTGAGGGTGGTAAGGCCCTGGCAGAGGTTGTCTAAGTTGCCCCATGGCCAGGTTAGACAAAGCTTGGAGCAACCTGGTCTAGTGGAAGGTGTCCCTGACCATGGCAGGGGTTGGAATGAGAACACCTTTATGGTCCTTTCCCACCCAAACCCTTCCATGATTCCATGATCCCCTGCATCCCTTCAGCCTGCTCCTCCAGCCTCTGCTGCCCAAGCCAAGGTGCTGCCTTGCTTCTTTTCTTTTTTTTTTTTAATTCTTTTTTTCCCTAAAAATGCATTACCAGTGCAACTCATCCATATTTCCACCACCTTCTCCCTCCTGTTCTCGCGCTGAAGTCTATAATGCTGAAATTATAGCATCCCCCTCGTCACCATGGCAACGCTCAGGGATGTATTTAAAAAAAAAAAAAAAAAAAAAGACCAGAAGCCCTCCAAGGATTATGACTTCAGTGAGGGATCAGGCTGGAGGGGAATCTGGGTCATGGCTGGAGCAGGCTTTTCTTCCAGCCTGTCTTCAGTAATTCCCCTTACAGCACCGGGGCCGCGTCAGGGCAGGGCAGGACAGAGCTGCCACTGGCACCCATGGGTGCCCTCAAGGGGCTCCAGCTGCTCTGGGGGGTGCTGCCTCCCTCTAAATGAGCCTTCTTATTGCCCATGTACACTCTGGGAAAGAGCATCCTCTGCAAGCTCAGGATTCCCACCCAATATTGAGGTGTTTGAACCAAACCCTTTTTGTGGTGCCTGCAGGAGTGCCAGAGCCCTGCTCCCCCTCCACCCCGCTTTGTGCACTGCAAGCTTTCTCTCTCATCCCCCAAAATAAACAGGACTTTTTAAAATATATTTTTTTTACTCCTCTTCTTCTTTTTATTTTTTTTTCCTCCCTTTTTCCACACCCCCAGAGCCGCTGTTGCTGGTGGCAGGGAGCCCAGACTCTGTAGGAACTCAGAAATGCTGCGAATCCAAGCCCTGGCTGCCCTCTCAGTTTCGCAATCCTTTGGAAGGGGGGAGAGAGAGAAGGAATAAAATGGGAGGGGATTTTTTTTTTCTTTATTAGAGATTTATAGACTTTCCCACCAGTAGGGACAAGGAGCTGGAGCCGAGCGGCCAATTTCCTACAGTAAGTTTCCAACACTGCTCCTCTCTGGCCACTGCAAAACCCTCTGCAGCCTCTCCTCTGGTGGGTTGGGCTGGTGAAATTTTTGGAAAACCATGGGAAATGCTGGCATTTCCAGTGCTGGGGGGGGTTGGCAGTGTGAGGGGCTGCTGATGTAGGGGGTGGTGGGCCAGCACCTCCCATGGGCTAAGTGATGCTAAGGGCCAGGAAAAATGAGCTCAGGTGGTGCTTTTTGAGCAATTAAAGCCTTTTCTCGACCTGTTTTTTGGTTGCATGTGAACCCTTTGGCTTGGGCTTCGTGGTGGTGCCTGAGAGCTGCTCATGGCTGCTGGTCCCTCCAGCCAGCTCGGTGCTGCTGGGGCACGTTCCCTGCTGTCCTCATCCCCCTCAGCCATTTGGCCTCTTGAGGTTTGTGGTCCATTTATTTTTAGGTAATTGCAGTGTCCGGGCGTGGGGAGGCCGCTCGGTACCACGCAGCCGGACAAGGGAGGGGTTTGTTGGCCAGTTATATTTTAAGCACTTTGGTTTCTTAGAGGAGAGAGTTTGTGCAGCTCCTTGTGCGCTGCTGTGGAGGGGCCCAGCCAATGCCACGGTGGCTCCTGTCCCCACAGATGCCATTTTATCCCTGCCTGGTGCTGGACATGGGGCAGGGTGTGAGGGTTCAGCTCCTGGCCCTGCTTTGCACCCTCGTGCAGGATCTGACCCTCTGCCAGTGCTCCTGCTGGAGGAAAAAATCCTCCCTTAAGCTGTGCCTGGATGAGATCTGAGTGCTGGCAGCTCTGCTCCCAGTATCCAGTGATTAATGGGATTAAATTGGTTCCCCTAGTGAGGTTTTTTTTTCTTTTGCATCTGGTTTTCTCAAGACTTTTTAAGCAGGGGGAGGCCGGGGCCATGTCGCACTGAGATCTGATTAGATAAGGGAGAGCTGCCTGTGAACAAAATTCCTACCGGATAATTATTTATACCTCCATGTGCGTCACTAATAAACATCTGGATCTGCTCCAAACATCTTCATTTGATTTGTTTTGTAGTCTCTCAACAGGGATGTTTCTCAGCTCCCCACCTCCCTCTTGTCGTGTGGCTGAAATGAGGGGTGGGTTTGAGCAGTTGCCCCCAGCACCAGCCTTGCTCTCCCATTTCCCCCTGGGCATTTTTGCACTCTTGGGGCTGCTTTAACAAATTCCCACTCCTGGGTGCCCGTGATGGGGCGACAGTCACGTTGCCCTTTCTCAGGAGGAGAAAATATGTGGTGTTGGTGGTTGAAGAAAAAAATATGAGTGGTCAAAACAAGCCAAAAAGCAACCCCAGATGTGTTGCCTTCTATTTTAAACATCCTCGTTTGATTTGGGGGCGAACCAGACTCCTGACCTTTCGGAGCACGTGGGGCTGGCAGTCACGCCAAGCTCTCCCAGGCCAGGGCTGACTTCTTGCTCTGTTTGTGTAGAGCCAAGAAATTACTATTAATAACTTTCCCTGAATGAGAGCTGAGTACCTGCTTCCCTGGGGCTCCTTGGAAGGCTCCGGCTTGGGCGGATAACATCAACAGTCATTATGAACGGCACTGAGAGCATCGGCCGCAGCTGGGATGCAGATGGGAAGGGACTGATGTGGGAGGGGAGACATGAAGGAAGCCTCTGGCTGGCTGTGAAGCGCCTTGGGCAGGGCTTGCAGGCGCCACGAGCCATTTTTTGTGTGTTCCTCCATCCTTTTTACAGCCCTGGCCCCTCTTTGCACGAACGCGATGCGAAAACCATCCCGAGTCGCCGGAGCCAGCGGCGAATGCCAGCTCCATCCATGTTGGCTCTAATCTGTGTCTCACCTCTGCTGGGCTGTCAGGAGGGAAAAAAAATAAATAAAAAAGTTTCAGTGCTGCACCCAGCCTTAATCTCTTTAAACTGTATTTCGCTAATCCTTCATTAGGATCTCATTGTGAGCTTGTTATCCCGTTAGGGCTGAGCCGTGCGTGGCGGCGCCCGCCGAGCTGGGTGGGAAGGGAAGGGAAGGGAAGGGAAGGGAAGGGGCTGCCTTGGCCCAACCTCCTCCAGGATGTGCCAGCAGCGCCAGCCAGGTGGGCTCAGCTCTGTGGGGATGGGTGTCTGTGCTCTGTGCTGCTCCTGGGCTGGGCTGGGTGCTGGGTGCTGGTTTTTGGTGTGAGCTGTGGGGATGTTTCTGTTTCTGTTTGCCTTCCCATCCATTCCTTGATGTGTTGGAGCTGGTGGGGAGGGTGGGGGGGTGTCACATAGAAAGTGCTGGGTTTGGTTTGTCAGTCTTTAGATTGTTTCTGGGAGCACCTGCAGCACCAAGGGCAGGGTTTTAGCTGGGGTTGTTACCCTGGAAGCTGGCAGGAGGTGATGCCAAGG